TTCTCCGGACAGACCCCAGCAGGGCAGGGACCAAAGGGGCTTCTCCCTGGGACCCCTTCGAGGGAAGGCCTGATCTGGACTCCACAAAAGTCCGGCCATCCAAGCTTGTGAGCCTCAGGCAGGGTGAGAAGGACACACGGGCTTTTTTTTAAAAAGAAAGAAAGAAATAGGTGCCTTGCGTAGATGCCCTCATGGACACATTTCCCACCAAGTCCTCCTGCTAGAAGCCAAGCACCTCCTGCAAGGAAAAAGGAAAAGGTCTGCAAATCCTTTTGTGGTTGATGGCTCTGCTGTGGGGTGTGCGTGTGTGTGTCCCTCTGCCTGCAAAGGCCATCCGGTTTGATAGGTCTCCCATCCAGAAGAACACAGAGGCGCTGTGGGGGGTCCTCTGGCTTCCCGGCTGCTGAACCGTACATCAAAGCCCCCTGTAAATGCATGGAATGGAGCCTCCAGCAGGCTGAGGGGTCTATCTTGCTCAGCATTTTGTCCCCCAAGAGCTAGATGTCTTCAGGAAGGCTCCGGGAAGAGAGTGGAGGCGTAAAAGGGGCCTCAAAGGTGCAGAAGTGTGGGGGGGGGCAGGGGATTCAATTGGCTTTCCAGGGACAAGAAGGTCAGGCTCACCCCTGGGTTTCTCCCTCTCTCTCTCTTCCTTGCCCGCCAGTGGCTGGACCTGCTGCGTGTTCTTTTCCTTCACTTCTCCTCTAAAAACCTTTGAGGAAAATTTTGTCCTGGAAGCCCAGTTTGGAAAATGTGCTTAGGGGGCTGGATCCCCTCAGCAAATCCTGACCAGAGTAGATTTCCTGAATCAATGGGATCGGGGTCGGCTCTCCCTCCAGTGATGGGTTCCATAGACTTCCACAGATTGGGACAAGCAAGTGAAGCCCTTGGACTACAAATCCCATAAACCCAACCCCCCCGGGACACCCCCATGACCATCACCAATGCGTTCTTGAACCCTTTGTCTTTTTTTTCAAAATTATTCTCAGATTCTGAAAGCAACTTACACGTGTTCTTCTGGGAACACAGGATCCATTTTGCCCAATTCTCGTGATTTGTGTCTTTTGTTCTTTTTTTGTGGACAATTGGAAAACATACATTTGGGAGAAAAATTAATGGAAAACTAGCCCCATGAACCGAAAGGCCAGAAACAGACATTATAAATAAACCCATAATTAGACAAGGAAAGTCCTTAGGGGCTGATCATGTGGGAGGGTTAAAGAAGTTGTTTCTGTCATCTCCTGAAATTGGCAAATGGACTTACTTCGTTTGGTGGACAGGTAAACACAGGCTTCATTTGCCCGGTTCCCCTGATCTGCTGGAATCACGTCTCTTCAACACTAACCTGGTTTGAGCTGCAAGGATCCCACGCTCTCGAACATCTCTTTCCGCCCTCGAGAGAACCGGAGATCAACATGACAGGGTGAAGAGAGGTGTCCACCCTTGTTACCATACCTGTCCACGCAGACGGTTCAATTTTCCCGCAGCTCTGGTGAGAGGGCAGCAGGAAGCGTTGGGAGTCACCAAGCTGGTAGCTTCTCCTCTGAGAGTCTGAACCCAAAGAGCGAACACGTCTCCAGGGGGTGAGGAGAGCCTGCCGTGGGCCCGAAGGCAGCTCGGTGGCACGTTTTCCCCACAGTGCAGGTGAAAAAGAAGAACAAAAGGTCACCTCTATCAAGATAAATTCCCCGGACAAGGCTCATGGCTGTTCCCCTACTGATGCTGAGGAGACATCATGGTTAAACTGGAGAGCTAGTGGGACACCCTCGATGGCCAGGGTGGACACCCAGCTTTCTAGGCTGACCTATTATTTCCCCCCCATCCTCAGATGGAAAAGGCACCTCCTGATTTCCTCGTTCTTGCTTCTCTGTGTAAGGTCCCCCACCAACAGCTTGTACATTTTCCCCCTTTTGTTTTCCACGCCCCGAGAATACATTAAAAGGAAGAAAAAGGAAGGAAGAAACAGCTTTCCATTGTCCACCACGGCAAACAAGCAGCCCTTTCTTCCAAGGGAATTCGGACAAAATGTCAACACGAGGCTGGCGCCCAGCTCCTGGTACCTTCCGTCGGCCCCTCCCCAAGGGGAACATCGGGGTAAACAAAGCAAGGTCCCTTGGGGGGGGGGTGCTCAGAGCCCCAGAGAGCTTCCCAGAGGCCCCCAGGCGGGGACTGCCTTTCCTGAACCCTCCAGGGCCCGAAGCGCTCTGTCTGGTCCAGATGGAGAAGCGAGCGCACCCGCAAAGCATGGCTCGTTCTGGTGGGAATCCAAGGGGTTGCCCCCAAAATAGACACTCTTTGTCTCAGAAGCTTATGATTCCTGAATGCTTTGGTTCCCCCCCCACTTCAAAGAAATATTAATCAGCTGTTGTTCTTCATTTCTGAAAGGCAGACACAAAAGCTGCCTGCAGTCGGCAACAAGAGCCAGCCGTAAGATATCCAGCCCCTTCCTTGTCCCAATATGGAGGGAACCACATTCCAGGACAGACCTTTTTCTGGCATATGTGTGTGTGAGGGGGGAATTGAGGGGGGGAGATGGGAAGAGTTACAGTAAAGTAGGTGCATTTGCTTTCTCTAATGTTAATATGATGTCTGTCTCCTTATTCATTTGGGCAGATGGGTCACACACACCCTTTGCTGCTCAACCTCAGGCAGCGTTTTATCTTGGGTTGGCCCTCTGTGGTCTCAGTCATTTGCTCCCCTTGCCCTCACGGACGCTTGAGGTCCATGAGGCACAACTGTGGCCCACAAGATTTTGCTGTAGCCAAAGTCTTGTTCTGTTGTTCTCCAGCCCAGCCCCATAAACAGAGTCAGAAGGAGATGCTAGCTTTCTGCCTGCAAGCAGGAGAGGTTAGGTGCGGCCGGTCCCTGACTGCAAGGAGAAAGCTAGCTATTCCCCTCACGCTCTGTTGAAGCCACTGGATTGGAGAGGGACTGTGCGGACGTCCTTCGCTGGCAGTTGTGCTGCCTCATTGGAGGGGGGGGTGCTCTAGTCTTCAGCAGGAGAAGTAAAAGTCCCTCGATGCAAAACCATGCCAGAGAAGGCAGTTTAATAAAAACACCCTTGAACGACGTGTTCTGGTCGGTCTGGGCCACAGGATGGTAAGGGAAAGGGAAGGAACAGAGTTCTAGCAGAGGCTTTTATACCAGGTGACAACCCCCAGCCGGGGGGGGGCCCTGGGGGTCGCTGGTCACTGCCAAGGGAGAATCAGGCCCCTGTTGTTCTGCTTGCCTCACTGCAGGGCATGTGATCCTCTCTCTCTCTCTCTCTCTCTCTCTCTCTCTCTCTCTCTCTGTGTGTGTGTGTGTGTGTGTCCTTTCTCCACCACCATCATCAAAGAGCTGTTTGTTTTCTGGGCCATCGCAGGAGGCTTTAAGCCTGGCCTTGCCTCACAAACAGATCCGAGGCTGGGAGAGAAGCAGGCAGCCCATGAAATAGCCCCCCTACCCCCCCCATCCCAGGGGCCAAGCCATGATGGCATCAACAGAAGGCCCTGTTCTGATTTTCCTGTTGGCCAGTGGTCATTCCTGCTTCTGTGAACCTCTCCCCTCTCCCCATAGGGTCCATAGGGGTTCCCCCCCATGGTCAAAATATTGCTCTAGATATTAGTAATAATTTTTTTGGGGGGTGAGGGTCCTGAAGCAACTCCTCTCCCCAGCTAGCAGAGCATGGTCAGTCAGCTCCATTTTCAGCGGGTGCTGGGGGGCCGGCCCTCTGCAAACCACCGACTCAGCTGCCGGAGAGACATGCAATAGGACATTCAGGGGGGGAAAAAACCTGTGCCCCCAGAAGTGCTTTAATAGAAGGATTTGGGGCTTTAGAGGTCAGTAGGCTGTGGGGCACCCCAGGGGATGCAGGCAGGTACAAGACGAGGCCCCCCGTGGAGGGGGACGTTGGTGGAAGGAGTCAGGCTTTAGAAGGCCCGAGAAATCAGCAAGCGGCCAGGTCTTCTGAGGGTGGGTTAGATCTTCCTGTATCCTCCAGTTAGAAGCCAAGGGATACCCAAGGCATTGCAACAAAGGCTTTTACCCTTGTGTCATGAAAAGGCAAAATGATCTCTAGGAAAAACAATAATGTTAGTAAAAGGGGAAGGCCCAATGGGAAAAGAGGAAGCCCAAGACTCTCTAAAGGCACCCACAGGCTGCAGTTTACAAGAGCTGAGCAGGGCGGTTGGGGGCAGGATAGACTGGAGGTCTCTCATCCACGGGGTCGCCCTAAATCGGGAGGGGGGGCAACTGGACGGGGAAGTAAGGGAGCCAGAAGATGGCAGGGCATAGGCTCAGCAGCCAGATGGCGACCTAAGATAAAGAATCCTGCTTTTCGGTGCACAGGCTGCAATGCGCCAGCACGGCCACCGGGGGGCGCCCCGAGATTAAGAATGAGGAGCTAGCGCTTTACTATTAAGATTAAGAATGAGGAGCTAGCTCTTTAATAGGGCCACGGATGCCCCGAAGCATGTGGGTCGCCGGAAAGAATCTATGCTTTCTGTGTGGTGCCAAGGAAACGGTGGGACGCTGTTTGCAGAGGAGCAACTCTGCAGATCCTTTGGCTTCCCTCTGGCCTCGGTTTGTCCAAAGAAGGCTGAACTCCTTCGTTGGGAGGGTCAGAAAGACGCCGGAACAACGGAGGAGGAGCCCCTCCTTAAAGCCCCACAAGCACAGCTGCAGGGGAAGCCTCTTGGGAAGAAGGGGCTTCCTCGGGAGTAGGGGGTTCTCCTGGAGGGAAATCCTTTCCTTCCAGGGAGGCCAGGGGCCCCGATTCTGCAGCTGAGCTCCGGGTGGGACTCAGGCAATCTAGCCCTTTTAAAAAGCGCCTTCAAAGGGGTGGGGGACTGGGTAGCGCTGACCCATTTACCTTGCACCCTGGTAAGCCAACCCCCTCCCCTGGCTGGAAGGGGCTGCTAAGCAGCCAGCCATAAGCCCAACGTCCCCAGGATGGGGCCCGTGTGAGGCCTGTCTCTGATTTATAATTCACTTTTCAGTCCCCAGAAGGACCTCCAAGGGGACACCGAGAAATATGACGCCATTACAAAACCAAGCTAAGCAATAAGATGCCGGGTCCTGTGGTCGGAAGGTTGGACTAGGACTCCGAAGTCTTGAATTCAAATCCCTCCTTGGGCGTGAAGCTCATTGGATGACCCAGGTTTCGTTTCTCTCTCTTTCTCGGTCAGCCTGGCCTGCTTGATAAGATTGTTGTGAGAATCAAGTGGAGGGAGGAGAGCCACGTAGAGAGCCCTGAACGTGTGGGGGTTTGGGGGTTGCGGGTGGGCTGGTAATAATTTTGCCCAGCAGATAAATAAGATTTTAGAAGCTACAAGGTCAGGGCGACCGGGCAGGATGTATTAGGTGGTGGGTCATTCATGCATTTAGACTTGGGTTTTCTGTGTTCTGAAGTGGAATGAAAAACATAACGGAAAGAGATGAAGAAGTAGAGGAATCACGTAGGAGAAAGCAGTGGGAATTAAAATAAAGGGGAAAAAACTGGAGGGAGCAAAAGCAGGAAAAAGCTCTCCATTAAAAGGACCACATTTTATGTGACCTAAACTTTTGTGGATGCAGCTACTTAGGCAGCAGTTCGGGAAACCTTCAGCCAGAGAGACGTCTTCCTCTTTCGGGTGCCAATTGACTTATTTATTTTTTTAAAAAATATATTTTTGCCCCACCTTTCTCCTTAAAGGGGACCCAAGGCGGCGGCTTGCCTCCATCTGGCTTTTGATTCTGGATCCGGCCCCCTCTGCCCCTCTGGAGGCAAAAGGGCCCCTCAGGTCCGGCACAGAAAACAAGGACAGCATCTTCTTGTGTTCAATGGGGAGAAAACTGAGGAGAAAGGCTGGGTAAAAAATCTTTGAAATACATTAAATAAACAAATTGTAGCCCTAAAACCCAGGGTGTGTATTCCCAGGGAAGCTTGGGTGGGGAAGCCCAGGTGGGGCTCCTCAGAAGTAAGCCCCATCGCTTCCAGTGGGGGCTTACTCCCAGGTCAAGAGGCCTCGGCTGGCAAAAACAGACCACCCAATGGTCTTCGTTAATTGGACGGAAAAGCGTGGCCGAGCGCCGAGAGGGAGGAAGGCAGGCAGGCCGGTGGGCACCGGGAGGGCCTCCTCCTCCTCCTCCTGGGGCCCTGGGCGACGGGAGGGTTGGGCGGGTGGCCCCGCTTCCCCAGGGC